AGACGAAACCAAACACTTGGCGATTTCGAGAAGACAAGTGTATACTGTGTTTTATTATTATATTCGCGTTTGGTTGTATTTATAATTTATTGCTTTATCGAGAGCAAGATGTTGGACATGATTAAGTTTGGGGCCGATTAAATTCTGGTGACATGTGGAACCAAAAAAAACTCGTTTGCGACTGGTCAACGGCTACAAATTTAGAATGCTGCTATATTGGGTTAGCATGTGTATTGGATCTCCGGAAGGCTAATTCACAAGATAGATCTAGACTTTCTTTGTGTACACGACTTTGACTTTTTTAAATTCAACCCGCTGCTTTTAGCGACAAATAAATTGCGCACAGTGACGATATTTCGAAAGAGAATTTGAAATGTGCAGAAAGAGCGAATGGTGGATTGCGGTATGGTATAAAAAAAGCATAAGCAATGTTACGATGCATTGGTTGAGAGTTGAAGGTACTATAAAAGGAAATGATTGGCCAAGACATTTTGACATACGGAAATATCTTTAGATTTGAATCTTGGTTGATAAGATAACCAAGTCAACTTTTTTTAGGGGGGAAGGTTTACAATGAATAGCGTGACAGAAATATAAAGTTAGCGATTAGTCAGCAGACAAGTACAAAATTAGCAGTTGGTTATGAAAATCAAAAATCAAAAATTCTGTAATAGGTAAAAGATGCTACATACAGTATATGCTATATATAAATAAACGCAGAAAAGTGCACAACGAATAATCACATCAATTTAAGTATTTTTAGATGGCAAATGACGGATATCGGTTAATTGTGGCGAAAATTGGGTATTAAATTGCTTTGACATACGCTGTTATATAGATATCTTATGACTAATAAATATTGCGCTGTTTGTATACTACGCCGATTTCTCGTCTTTTTTGAAATAACAAATTTGACTCTATGGACCCTGTTTGTGTGACTTGGTTATTAACGTAGTCCAATCAACGACAGCATATCAATATGGACAATAAATAATCGATTTGAGGTAAATAAATGTGCTGCAGTCTTTATTGGGGGGTTTGAGTGAACCAAACACATATTTTAGGGCAAACTTGGACTATTGGTCTATAATATCAACAACACTACCACTGCAAACCTGCTAAGTGCTTGTGATATTTCGATTAGAGAATATTCTCCCTGAAGCACAAATTCCATTTGTGTAAGCATGAAAAACGTAAACAAATCCCCTTCGTAACAAGTTACTTGCTCGGACAATAAGGGTTCCGGGGTTAGAGAAAAAAAGGAGATACTGTATTGTCTTCTTCTTTCTTGTCTTGGCATATTCTCGTTTGTGTAATATATCAGCATAATTACTTCAATTTCTAGGCAGTTATGCCGATATTCCTTAAACATTATCCGACTCGGGTTCATGTCACATTAAACAATATGACATTTAACCGGAAAACACACACATACACATAGTAAATGCGTTCGCTTATACATGTGTGTGTATATACTTATTTATTGTAAAGCTGTGATGAACAAAACCAACCCTTTTCCAGACTACATTCTGCACGCAGCGGGTCACAGTTACAAAAAGTTTTTTACAGTAAATTTCAATACACAAGTATCATATACAAGTATCAATGCTACCAATACACAAGTGTTAATGTTACCAATATACAAGTGTTAATGCTACCAATATACAAGTATCAATGCTACCGATATACAAGTATCAATGCTACCAATATACAATGATCATTGCAATCGATACAATATAAAATGAATTTCTAGTCTATAAAAGGTAGAGAATAAAAGCTCATCCTTGACGCAACACGGCCAACGGGATTACAATTTTTGAATATATATGCCTTTATTCGGAATTCTTCTAATACATATTTTGTAAAGCTACGGTTTTGTGTCACGCAGTAAATTAACACGCGATAGCATTTGGTATAAATTGTGGTATTTGGTATAACCTCCTGCATTCTTAATCCTGTAGAATCAACGGTATTTTTAGAAAGGTGGAAAAAAAAAAAGAAAAAAAGAGGATAAACGTTATGTTTGTACTTTATAGTTTCACCAATAGTTTTTTATTTTCTATTCCCCTTCCATTATGCATCCTTAACGGTATTCGAATGAATGAAATGAATAAACAAACGAACGGAAATATTAGTGTATAGTTTTATAGTAGGACATGTTTACGTGAGAGAGTTTAATAGAGTGCCGAGTATTTTTCCATATACTAATGCGCTTATGTAATAGACTGCAACAACAACGACGACAACAACAATAACAACAACAGCAGCAACAACAACAACAATAACAACAATAACAACAATAATGACGACGACTATAATAATAATAACGCAATGATTTAGCATAAACATACATAATAATATAATTATTCCATGGCTATTTTTGAATGTCATATGTTAGTATCTTGTGCGTTTCTGTTGTTTTCGTTTATCTGATTGCCCATTCGCGATGATCGAATCCATACGTTATTGTCATATTAATGCAATTGATGGCTCGGCGTATGAGGTTCGGAGAGAATTTGAAAATAGCTTGCAAGATCGTCTATTGCAATTGAACGGCCGTTAGGCGATGTACGGTTGTGTGTAAATCAGTTGATATATGAGGTAATATCATTTACTACTACTGCTTTACTAGTCAAAAAAGAAGTTGTATCGTTGCTTGATCCGAATACCATGTAAAACTGATTAATAAGTATAATAATGTATAACGATGTATGATACATGTCTTTCAATCTCACATGCATCTCACATGAGGAAGGTGAGTATATAGAGGTTTTCATTGTAGCCTTTTCTTTTTCTTTTCTTTTTTTTCCACACTTTTTTTTTATGTGTTGCAATCGTCTCAATCGAGACGCACAACGGCACATTACCATGTAGAGCAGGCTCGCATTAACTTGCATTAACTACCCCCCTTGTTTATGTGTGTCACCGATGACAGCTGTGAGAATGCATTATCGATCAAAGGGTATTTTGTAAGGGTTGCTTGCTTGCTTGTTTGCTTGCTTGCTTTCTATCACATTCTCTTTTTCTCTGCCATTTCCTTGTCTTTCTGGCTTATTGTTATCGGTGAAACAATGTCGTGTAAAACAATGAATGTGCATTACAAAGGAGAAAAAGAAAGATGGTTTTTAGTTGAAATAATATATATGTATTATGTAGTGTAAATTATGGATAATTTCTTATATTATGTGCAAATGTTTATCATTTGTGCAATAGCGAAATATGTTCTGTGTACAGACCTACTTGCCTTGGCCATGCTTTCCCGTTGACTGCGCTTTACCCTTTAGTTAGCTGTGTATGCATTTAAGAATCATAGACCATATATCCCCACATTTGAAGAACAAGAGATCGTTTGTGAGATGGTTATAATTAAGACAAGGAAGCATTTGTAACTTATATTTGATATATCAGAAGTAAACATGTATGTATAATAAGTAAATTTGTGAGAGTCATTGTCTCAGACACTGAACAAGAATTTACTGGCGAATGTTAAATAGGTGATTGCATAACTGGCGAATGTTAAATAGGTGATTGCATAACTGGCGAATGTTAAATAAGTGATTGCATAATGCCAAATCGATAATAATCACCAAACACAATACATATATACACAATGAATATATCACACGAACACACATATTTATATGTACATATTGTTTATTATATACTAGTTTTTAGTATTCTATTAACAGATATTATATTACCTTATATTACATTTGCATTGTATCGGAATCGATAATCACAATAATCCATCAGCATAATGTCTTTGTTCAGTACATGTCTAGTCAAAGAATGTCCCGCTCGTCCTGGCCTGGTGCCTTTACAATTGAATTCAATTCAATCCAATTGAATTGAATCCAACTCTATCCAATTGAATTGAATCCAACTCTATCCAATTCAATTCAATTTTCAATTCAATTGTACCCTAACCCTAACCCATCCCATCCCATCCCATCCCATCCCATCCCAAACAACAACAGCAACAACAACAACAACAACAACAACAACAATAAGCCGTTCATTCAATGGTAACGAACATTCGGATTATCGACGTCTTTTTGAGAAATGGTCAACAAAAAGCATCGATTCGTATGTGTGTGTGTGAGCGTGTGTGTTGCCTGCATGCTATGTATGTACGTATGTGCAATATGCTGTAATGCATATGATGTATGCTCTTTACAATCGATTACGGATATATGCACACTATTCCATTTTTTCAAATTCCTGTCTATTTCAACTGCAATAAATGTGATATAAGAATAATTATGTGTTAATTATTTGTTGTCGCCTTGTGTCCAAGTCCCAACTTATTATCCGTCCTCCCTCCCCTCTATGTCTTTGCGACCCCCTAAAATTATGACTAGTTTTGAATTTATAATATAAAAAGAATAGTACATCCTATAAATATCATACAAATCTTGTAAGTGAAGTGCAACCCGTATAAATATGTCAAATGCAACTATATAAATAATACTAATACTTATTCTGTAAACTTAAAAAAAAACTTTCTGTGTATTGTACTAACGCTAAGCTGGCACAGTGATTTTGTGTTGCACAGCTGACTCGACATCAACGCTAATTTATAATGACCCAATTTTTTTCCATCTTGCAAAATAATCATCGGTCGAAAGGGTGCTTTTAACTCTCAAAACCCCCACTTCTTCCTTCTCTCATACGAGAGAGAAGCCCAACAGAATAACATACTTATATCCCCATTAACGATATTATAACGTACGAGTTTATATAAAGCGGGTGTTGGGACTGGTGCTAAAAAGTTGTGAGGAAAAAAAAAAAAAGAGTGTGTTGCGATAAAGATAAAAGAAAGAAATATATTTTTTAATCCATAAAGCGAAAGAAAAGCCATTATAAACATATTCCTATATTTACTCTCCGCAGCAACTCAATTATCACTAATCATTTATTAATCGTATACTGTCCAACTATATACACTCCCCCATAATACACACAGACCTTTCAGTTTCCCGCTCAAAGCTTTTTCTATCATGCTCTCGGAAATCTCGCTAATACTACCGACGTCCATTGTTCTTCAAGAACCACAAGATTTCTACACACAAGAGAAACCCCAAAATAGACGCTCATCCCAATCACATTCCGAGAACACTTCTTTATGGCGGCTATGCACAAAAGCCAAGGACGCCTTGCCAAACGGTGTTCGTCTAGAAAATATCACATGGCGTGTAATGGCCATAGAACTTAAAAAGTGGAAAGAAGGAAAACAGCACGACACTGCAAAGTTTGATGGTTACGTAGAGAGATCCACCGTAATAAAAACAAGCGATAATGGGAGTGCTGCGATAACCGAGTTAGATAGAAATGAAGCTAGGACGCAAAAGCGAAAAGACTCTTCGCAAAATATAAAAATTGAAGTGAAAACCCCAAGGAATGACTTTTTCTGCGAACGGGAAAGCGAAATGGCAAATTGCCATTCCGGAACAAGTTGTAGCAGATCGACGGATAAGTAAGTGAAAAAGTTTCGAATGCCGCCCAAACTATTCCGATACAAAAAACTGTCTATCAAAAATCTCGAATTTTTTCATGTGCCTATTCTTCTAATCTTTGTTATCTACTCCTACATCATTTGTTCATCACAATCAGACAGTCTGATGTCGAAATGTCTGATTCCACTTCACTCCCACGAACTTTATCAACCACCCAATTCGACTACGACGATGTAATGTTTGTCGACAGTACAACTTTTGTTACCTCTCCATCTGACACATCAAACACCGACGAGGTCTCTTCGTACACATCTACGTCTCCTGTGTTATCTCATGCAACATCCGCGGCCATTCCAATACCGTCCAACATAACTCAAACTGTATACGGGTTTGGAGCGTTCAATGTCAATGGCGCTGGCAGGATCGATGGAATCGTGGATAATCTGACTGCTATTGCTGGCGGTCCACGAACAAACGCGTTTAGTGTATTGCAACAAAGACAATGTGATGCAACTAATAGTGAACGGGATAATAAAGTAATAGAGAGCGTCGGTGTTCCGATTGGAACGGTCGAGAGAGAGGAGAGTGGCCTGAGTTTTCCCAAAAGGGTGAGTAGTAATTAAATATGTGTTGTTTGTTGTCGGAAAAAAAAATTGCCTGGAAATGGCCAGCAAATATCCAATGAAATTTATTGTTTATTATTTAATCCTTATTAGAAACGCTCAGAAAGCTTTACAAACAATGTCTCTCAAATGCAATCAATCACAATTCCAAACGACACGTTGGATGACTCTGATACAGACTTGCCCGAATCTCTTTCTTCTTCCATGACCGGCTCTGTTGCAAACCAGTATACACTAAACTCGCTCAACTATTCCAACACTCCCTATGATCATTCGCTCGACTATGCTTCATCCCCCGGTTATTTTTCGTTCGACTTGTCAGCGGACGGACTGGTCACTACTTCTCATATCACTCCACTTACCCCTGCAGATAGTGACTACTATATTAGTTACCAGTATGCAGATGACCAGGAATACTTTAACATGGTGAACGAATTCGATAGCGGAGATTTGGCTTCCTCATCATCACAGTTCTTGCACATTAATCCATCATTACTAGTACCATCCTCTCAAACACAAGAACCAATATATGAAATGATGACAGATAACCAATTAGAATCATCGCAGGACGAGAAGGGGCCTAAAACACAGCAGTTAAAGTATGCAGTTTTGGGAGACGCAGAAACTGTGGATCGAGAGGGTACAGAAGGAAACGGTGCGAGTGCGAGTGTACAAGAAGCGAAGAAGCTTTTGCCAAGCGATTCGTCGACGGATGGAGTTGGTTCGGAAGAAAAGGAAGCTGATGGGAACACTTCACCACAGCAACTTGTGGCAACGACTACGACAACAGCAACCATATCATCATCGTCATCATCATCATCATCATCATCATCATCATCATCATCATCATCAGTACCAGGAAAGCGACAGAGGAGTGTGTCCCGATCCCCACCATTGACTGGACAGACGACCTTACATCTAATTACAAAACAATCTTCCCCATCCTTGACAACGGCAGCAACATCAAGTAACATTACTTCGTCAATAAAAGAGGCTTCATCACCCTCACAATCACATTCACAACCACCGTCACCATCACAATCACAACCACAATCACGATCACAACCATCTTCACCACAACAACAGCAACAGCAACAGCAGCCGCAACAACAACACCAACACCAGCAAATGCAGCAGCAGCAGCAGCAACAGCAAATGCAAATGCAACAGCAACAGCAAATGCGAATGCAACACCAGCAAATGCAACAGCCGCCTAGGCAACCAAATCATCCCAAACAGGCCACTCCAACTACGTGCACAAATTGTGCAACTCAAATCACCCCATTGTGGCGTCGTAATCCTGAAGGACATCCACTTTGTAATGCATGCGGTCTATTTCTAAAGCTTCACGGCGTCGTCCGACCACTAACACTCAAAACTGACGTAATCAAAAAGCGCAATCGCGGAAATACGAATGCAAATTCAAAATCTTCTAAATCCGCCAAGAATGCGACAGGACTAGGAATAGGCGGACCGGGCATGTCGATTATGAACAAGCCGTCACAGCGATCGGGTATGGGAGCACTTAGCACTTCGGCACCGACTACGCAAGCGTTTGTCGGTACTGGTTCATTCCGTGGGCAGAACCATACAATTACGAAAAAACCGAGGAGGTTTTCTAGTGATGAATTGACAGACGTACGACCTTTCGGATTGGGAGGAGGGGAACAACCTAGTTTTGCAGCGCGAGCCGACATGATGATGAGTTTTGCTCGATCAAATGGACAGAAATCACAACCTACATTACAATATGCCACAGCTCCTTCGCCCACGTCTCCGATGTCTGCCGGGCCACAATCGCAAGCACATCGATTCCAACGGTCAAATACCATGCCGTCTATACCAGTTGTACAGTCGACTCTAAATTCTTCTAACCCAACATCATCACAGTATGGGATGACGTCGTTGATAATGCGTTACCCAGAAGAGGATGTTATTGTTCCGAGTAACGGGCAAAATGACTTTGTAGTTGGTGCGTCGGGAGTGATAAGGTTACAGAATGGTGGTGCGATACAACAAGAACAACAGTTTTTATCTGCTGATGGTGGAGCAAGTAATACTACCAGAGATAATATTGCTCCCATGGACGTTTGTTAAGATTTGTGATGTGAGATTCTGGATAATCTATTTCATTAAAAAATGATGATCCAATCGCTTTGATTGTTATCGTCGTTGTTTTGTAATAGTTGCTCTTTATTTTTGGATTTAAATGGACTCTGTTAATTACTTTATTTTTTTTTTATTTCTCGTACATATATTCTTATATACTATGTTTTCTTTTGTTTCATATATATTTATTGGATTTAAATTTTTATACATCATACATCTTATATTGAAATTTTTTTAAGTACACTCTAAGAGTATTTTCAACTTGTAATATTTTTTTTCTTCCCTTCTTCTCTATATACACTTTATCTTTTAAACTGTTTTATATATTACAATACATATACATTCTTTCTTTATGTTATGCCCAGGGAATCATATATGCTTCTCCTCTGTAGTTTTGTATACATGGACAACAATATCATGTGATCTGGAAATATACATTTTTCACGATCGTGGATATAATAATATAACTTTTTCGAAATGTACAAAAAAGCATCGTAACAAGTGTTGATTCGGATGGTGTATAGTGCTGTGGAATTCTCGTGTGATGATCAACGACATTCGAATGCTGCGACGCTTTTGATGTTGTGATGCTGCCATTATAATTAGTAATGCGTGAGTGCTACTATTCGCCCGCTTGGGGTTGTTTCATGTCATGTCATGTCATGCCATGTCCGAATACCCGTGTGTTCGGCTTACGACGGAATGATCTCGATCAGTCTTATTTTCAGGATTGTCAAAACTCCTTGATCTACGATTTACTGAAAATCCCGGGCAACCGCTCAACGATACAAAATAGTGCATGATTTGTTACACAATAATATTGCACAAATTGATTGAAAAAAAAATTAGTAACATTCTACAAGCATTCTCGCCAATTTTAACGCAAAAGAAGTGGTGGGCGATGGATTATCACATGCATGAGAAATCTGTTCCAAAGACAAAAAGAATTCAAACCGGACACTTGCTCAAGTTGTAATCAGCCATAACGGGGTTTATTATCACCTTTAATATTAATTAATTCTCTTAAGCAGTATTACAAACCAAAATAGGTTGCCACCATGCGCAAATAGTCGTGAGAACAGGATGTGTTCGTTAAAAAAATTTTTATTATGGTTTCTTATTGTTATCGTGTCGTCCTCCCTCGGATCAGTTTGACCAAAATATGTCTTAAAGTATGTGGTTTTGTTATTGTGAGAGATAAATAAGGGAAGAAATTCTTAAGTATTTTGTATGATCACGTTTCATTATTTTGTATGTCATTAATTGATCGTAAACAAGTTTTTTACTACATCCTCCTTTAAATATCGGTTTTTGAAACGGAATCTTTAACACGTATACAAAGTATGCAAAAGTGATTTAAATTCAAGTTATTCTAAAAAGACTTCTTTTTTTTCCTCTGTGAGAAATAAATCTGGGGTCGAAGAAGAAAAGCTCATTGGTTTGGCTGTCTAAAAACGCCATGTATCCGAGATGGTGACTTTGCTTTACAGAAGGGAAGAAGAGTGACAGCCCCTTCGATGGCAAATATTTATTTCTTGTAACTGAGTACAGAATAAAGTTGCAAGCTACATATGGCAAGTAGGAATGTTCTTAAAGTTTTTTGTTATACATATACCAATTAAAGCTAATTGACTTTAAATTTAACTTTACGCTTCATCTTTTTTTATTATCATTCCCCCATCTCTTCCTGACATTACTAAATATGAGTAATAAGATAGATTGTATTAGTACGTGTATTATTCGATAGAGTTACAGTATGTGACGAAAAAAGTTGTTTCCATAGCTTCGCAACCATTGCATCAAATTAAACAGTAAATATATCAATTTAGAGCTTAAAACAAGCACATTTTATTGACTAGTTTTAATAATCGATTCTTTCCCCATTATTTCCAATAACTACTGACAACGATTTTTTATTGATTTAACTAAATTTATTATAATACCATCAGGAATATTACGTGGGTGGATCAAAAAGTTTTTGCCGCACGCCTCTCGTTTTGCGGGCTGATAACCTATAAAAACATGATACTAATCAAACAAAAGCTCAAGTTCTGATCTTCAAACCAAATAAAATTTGGGTTGTTTTAAATGGACGGTTGTTGAGATATCTTTGTTCATCGAAACCACTGGCTCGAATTTCACGTTCACAATACTGATTCTACATATCTGTTGAAATGGCAAGACGCGATAGATGTTAGTAAAATTAATGCAAATCTTGTAGACATAATGCACTAACATTATGCACAGTTTGACAGCTGGTTAAAATTTTCAATGATGGAAAAAACTACTTGGAAGACGACCCTTGCTTGATCCAGAAGACCTTTGCGAAGCAATTTTGGAAAAATCGTTGAAAGTATCCTCAATATGCTTAATAAAAACCCTAATAATATATAACATCAATTTTTTTTTACTAGAATTAAGAAGCACTTGCAAAAAGGAAGAATAACAGGATCAAAAATCTGTTTAGGGCTCATCAGGCAGTTGTTGATAGTATCCCACAAGAAAAATATCATAGTGTGGGACAAAAAAAACCGGGATTTTTTTTTGTAACATTCAATCTACCAATTCTTTCACTAATACTAGTTCTTAAATTCCTTTAATATTCTCAAGAAACATCAATTAGAACGATGACTTCCAGACAAGAGACAAATCGCCAAGCTATACAACAATTGTAGGATACATTCATTCGGAATGGTGTGGAGATTCATAAACGCAAGGTTATTCCCACAGTATGGTTTATAGTAACATTAAAAACCTCGAACAATCTGGAACCGTTAACCCTAACCCTAAAGGATCGAATAAAGCTCTTTGCTTCTGCGTAAGGGATAAGATAAATTTATACTGTTTTTCCGAAACAATTTTATGTATACATACTCCGAAGACATCTTCCAGACATTGATGACCTGTTAAGAGACGAATGGTGTTTCAACAAGACAATGAACTAAAACATACTAGCCGCCACTAAAACTTTCTTCGGGGGTAACATGTCTAAAGTTATAGACTGGCCCTTCTAACAGTCTTGACTCAAATCCAACAGAGAATCGCTGTAATGATGTTAGAAGAAGAAAATATTGGTGATTTACGGCCACAACTAACTCTAATTGGTTAGTACTATCGGTGAAACGCCGATGTGGGTGAACGCATTCCGTATGGTGGGGGACATCAAACAAAATCGATGCATTTCCAAACAATAATACAAGCATTACTGTATTAATAATTCAAATTTTAAGAAGGCCACTTTGTTCTTCTTGATAAATGTTAACAAATTGTGTTTAGAAAATTGACAAATGCTACAGGTGGTTTGAGATATAACTGTTCAAAGTTTAGTTAATCTATATAGTGAGCAGAAATTTGAAACAGCCTTTTCTGGTAAAATTTATCTTAAATTTGGCCCATTTATTAAGGCCTTAACAAAAAGGAATATTTGTGTCACATGAACTTTGGATAAACGTGATCTCTAAAACGAAAAATTTTCGCTCTTTAATAATGGGTAGACCCACAAAACGCACTCAACACTGTCGTGAGCTTGCAGATTCCCTGTAATAATACCACAATCGACAATGTTTTTATTAATGATTGCAGACAATGCGATTGAAGATGAGAGTAGTGAATTTGATGTGTATGAATGGAATGATAATAGATTAGACTATTCTGTAAACGATTGTAACGAATGATGATTGTTGCGCGCGTCATATTCTTGCAACGCAAGAAGATTTCAAAGCTAACAAACCGTTACTCCAAGAGGCAATTGAGAGCATGAGCCACAAAGTTATCTTCTATTCCAAATTCCATCCTGAGTTAAATTTCATTGATCAATATTGGGGCGCTGTTAAACGGTTTAAAGGAAACTCTTCCATCTGCATTTGATTCTATTTCTCTACAGACAATACGAAAATATGCACTAAGGTCCAAACAATTTATGGATTGTTATAGGAAGGGATTGGAGGGACGACAGGCAGAATTTGCCATTAAAAATATAAGAGTCATAGAACGGTTCCTGAACCGATTTTTGAATAAATTAATAAAATTAATAATAAAATTAATGTAGTTAATCATTGATATTTTCGGTAATAGTAACGAGGATGGTGACAAGTGGCACGCTCCGTACACGATTGAATAGTTCATTTGTTATTGTTATATGTTGAAATAATGAAGTAAGTTTATAAGAATAACTAGAACTTTATCTTTTTGGGGGCTGCGCCCCTCGGGTAATTTGTCGATTATGTGCTGTTTATGTAGTGGGGAAAAGTAATTGTGGTGTGAAACTCCGGTGTTGTTTATAACATTGGTGTTCGTTTTCTCAAGACAAATAGTATTTATTATGATTTTGTACAATACATGATCGATTAGACATTGAGACAGTCAGGAAGAAAGCGTTTGCGCTATCAGAACTAAAGTTCTGTTTAACTTTGAGAAGGCTTTTAAGTAAGATATTCAAGTTACGAAAATAAGATAAAACTATTGTTCATTTACATTTATGAATAAATATCATAGTTTTTATTCTTCAGGAAGAGGTAGCATTAGTTTGGTAGACGCTAAATCGGAAAGCCTTTTTACTTTTGTAGATGAGCGTAGCTCCCGGTTTTTTTTGTTGCAGGTGGATCGTCTACCACTACTACTAGATTGTCTTCGTTGCGTGTGCATTTTTCTGTTGATGGCGACGTAGATAAATCATTCTCGGATTTGATTTTTGTTTTCGTAGGGGAGGATATGGGAGAGGTTTTTTGTCGTTTGGTAGTGGTAGTTAGTAATTCGTATAGAAGACTTCTCTCAGGGGCAGAAGATGTGGATGAGGATGCGGATGAGGGTGAGGAGGTGGGCGTAGAGGACGTATATTGTGTGGTGTTCGTGGATAGAAAATCAAAATTGTGAAGTTCGAGACACAATTTATCCTCGTGGATATCTAATTCTCCTATAAGGAAGACTTTTGAACCCAGTTTTGCTTTCGTTGTTCAGTTGTAAAGATATTTTCTGTTGACATAATGGCG